TTTGTTTTTCTACACGGACACTTCATCGGTAGCTGATGTTTCTCAAATGATTGCTGCGGCACATGTGGATTCTTTTGATTTTGGAAACTGTTTATTCGGCACAAGTTGCTTCCATCCTGTGCTACGTTGTGTGTATTATAATAAACTATATGGGCTGCACAAATCAGAGCTTCTTTCTATCTACTCTGGGGATTTAAACAGCCCCTTTTAACTCGATCACCTGGTGTTTTGACGTAGGTAGGCCGATCATTGATGCAGGCCACCAAGATATGCGCCTAGAAATTGGTCTGTTTTGAAGGGAACAGCATAAAAGTACGCTGATAATAAATGTAAAATAATGTGTTTGCATCCAGTGATTTGTAATGTATCATGGCTTAAACGGGAAAAGGTTGTCAACTAACTAATATTAAAAGGTACGCATTATTGGTTTCATCGGGTCAATCGTAAAAACGATAGTTCTGAATTGGAACCGAAGGTTTTTCAGAGATGATGTCGTTCCCATTAATTACTTCCCGTAATCTGTGATTACGTTTGTAACTCTTGTGATTTTTTTCTAGCATCGTAATAGCACTAGGCATCAAGGCTGAGCACGTACTGTTAGATGGAACCCTCGACGACAGCCCTGTTCGACCTGTTAAACTGGCTGGTTTTGTTCAAATCCTTAATATATATTGTAGTGTATTATCGATCCCCTTACTCATGGCGACTGTAGTGAGAGATAATTTATACGACTACCGTTTCATCCAAGCTGTTCACGGGCTTCGTCCTTTGGCACTACCGCGTGCTCAAATCTATACACTAACAACTCTCCTCAGATCTGTAAATGTCTCTTTGGAGGATGTGAAAATGAAACCTGCCAAATTATCTGCTTGTTGCATACAAAGAAATTACCACTATAATTTAAATTGTTTCAGTCTTTCCTCATATAATGAAGTGAGTGCCAATTGAACAGATTAACAATCACATTCCTTTGGTACGGTTTTCGGTATCCGTCCAGAACATCTGTTGACCGGGAATAAACCCCATGTTGAGAATGACACCCAGGAGGAGCACGGTTTGAGTCTTGCTGTGTACCTGAGCAAATGGATGGGAGTGTTGAGGGTTGAATTCTACAGCAATTCTTGTGGGAAATGTGGACTTTACAATTATAAACAACTATGTACTATTGCTAAAGTACCCTTGGTGCGCCTAAGTACGTTTTCCATCTTCTGTCAGGTTTCCGTTTTGGACTACTCATTAGTAGCTTAAAACTGGTAACGTTTATTTTACTATCGAGCGACCTTGAATTGTTTCCTTTAACGCAGCGAGCTAACAGTAAATTTACAGGCAGTAGCTTGACATTGTTATATCTGGAAAGTTATATCATTTTGCGCTCAAAACAGGTTTTATCACAACAAATAAGTGGTGATGGACAATGGTAGTATTGGGGGACACATCACATGGCACTGTTAAGCAGCTATTTAAAAATCAACAACCGATCTTTTCAACAGTTATGTATAGAAAGAGCTATTTCTATTACTAGAAGAAATATCTTTGGAAAGTAAGTCAAATGGGTACTCAAGATTCTAAATAGAAAATAACAGTAAATGCAATACGTGAATGTTCCCCTGAAAGATAGTCTGCAGCATCCTCGGCATTGCTTTTGATTCGCCACTCTTTTCGTAATAGAGTACTGAAGCACAATGGCTGTCAGCTGACACAGCATGAGTAAAGACTTGTGGAAAATATTTCTGTTATTGTGTTTATCATATCAGGATAGGAATCTCGCTTGTTTCGCGCATTGATTTCTGTTGATTTATTTGGTCGCCTGGTTCGGCGGCATCGGTGCATTGATGTTTCACACGTCTCGCCAGCGTTTCAACCTACGGCACCTGGATAGTCATAAATCATACTCGGTTTTGCGTGAGAGGCCACCTATTGCTCTGAACAATCAAGTTTCTAGAGCCACACAGTTTGTGTCCGGGAATGTTTCGAATTTCACCAAAACTGGTCATCGCCAGGTTTGTGTGTTGATCGGTATGTTACTCTCGACAATAGGATAAAATGGAATGTTCCGTGTTCTATGTTACAAAAGATTCATAGATTTATACGTTTGTTTGCCATGTGCTCTGATGAAAACTTCAAAACTTGAAAATAAAATATCGAAAGATCAAATTGCTGTCTACCTTTCGAAGATGTTAAAGGTATGAATGTTTCTAGAAACCGTAAGTAAGCATACCCAATAAACATGTAGTTGGCTTTTCAGAAACAGTTTTCATTCTTAGACTGGGTGCATGTGATGAGCAATGTGTCTAGTTGCTTTCATAGTCCTTGTTAGATTTAATTTTAATGGGGACCGTATAAGTATGATAAAATTATGTGAAGCTTGTTTCGTTCACTTGAGAATCATTGCTTGTTCTACTTTTAGAAATGTAGTAGAATTGGAGAAACAGTCAATCGCTGTTGTTTTGACAGAGTTATTAGTATCAATTAAACGAGAATACAATCAATCCCAGGTTGCCAGAAGATCAATAGAAATGGTGACTTTAGGCGGTAGTGATCGGAAACAAACTCACGACCTGCTAGGCGATGCGAAGATGAATTTGATCACTTGATCATTGTCTAACAGGGAATTCTTTCGTGCAACAATGGTTCACTTGACGTGGCACTCAATGACGGGTAAAAGATATCTGTGAACATTCATTGTGGCATCCGAGTTATTTCTCGATTTCGAAGGCAGTAATTACTTACACTGATGCTAACTGTGAACGGAGACACTGCGTGAACCGAGTTTACTCATTTTTCGAGAATATATACCAGATTTCTCATGCGTTGAACTTTCCGTTTTTGAATAAATACAGGTCCTGAAGACATTCTGAAGGATGATTATCGTTCTGCGTTTCATCCATACTTCAAATCATTATATAGCCGTGCAACAACGTTTACCAACCAGCAGATAAATTCACTCAAACCTAGGTAACGTCACACCTCTTTGGAGGCTTCACATAGCAAGAGGCACGTTTTNCACGTTTTTCATCGAAGTGACTGCTATTTACACAAACCGGTGAAACCGTACCTCACAAAAATCGTAACGGCACTATAAGCGTCAGTGGATGGCTCATAAAATTCGTAAATAATCCAAACATCACTCCATTCTGCAGAGTGGAACAAAAATAACCGAATCATCGGTTATTGGTGGTGGCAGGCAGCCCTCCTGTCGCCCGACTCACTATCATGCTCAACCTATTGAGGCTTTATGTGGTTTTACCACTCCAATTCTCAGG